CTATCTTGACTTCCAGAAGTGGTTCAGTCTCTGCAATTCCATCAAGTCTTGTCATGTAATCCTACAAGTAAGTTCTGCTTGGCAGTGTATCCCAGTTTAAGAAATTGAGTGTGGTTTATCCTTTAAGAATATAGTTATACAGTCTCTTCAAGTAACTCAGGAGACAGGCAAAGTTCAGTAAGGCAATGCAAAGTTTCACTGGAGAAGAAGGAAATAATCTGTTTAATATCAGTGCTATTTCCAGGGCCTGTTCATAACTTGGGGATGCTAAAAGAAAGCTGAGTGACTGTTTCTAAGTAAAGAATGTTTTTACATTGCTCTGGGAAGGGCTAGCAGGGCCAGCTGATAGAAAGTTCTGCTGTAGGCTGATGTATGCACCTTGCTTGTGACCATACTATGTTATGACTCAATGACACAAGAACATGGTAAATCAGATTTGCCATGGGTACGGCTTTCTTAACATAAAAGCGGTGTTGGTTAAAATCAGGCAAAGAATTAATACTTGCTAAAGTACTTATCTGGTTAGTAAGATATACTATAGAGCATAAGCTACAGCAGCAGGAACACTCCACGTGCCTGTGCTTCACATAGCTCAGCAGTTTGCCACATGGCAATTGCCTGCGCACCAGAGTATAATGGGAGCATATGGAGTAACATGATGAATGTCTTTTAGTAGCATAGTTCTAAAAAAGCCACATTATTCATGCCTGGTCACGAGTAAGCAACACAGATCATCTCAAAGTCACGTGAATACGTTTTCTCCTATTGTCACAATATAAAGTCCTTGTAAATCCCATTTCTTCAAATCATAAAGCATCCTCTATTTACTTCCTACCACACATATGATCATACCCATTTGCTGGCACTCCTGAGCTCCTCCATGTGGGTAAGGATTAAACTTCCTCTATTAGCTTCAAAAGAGTGAATCTCTTCACAATCCCATCTCCAGAATAGAACACAGTTTCTCAGAAATGCACATAGTAGCTGGGAAAGTTGCCTTTTTCTGTATGTGTGTCTTGTTCAGTTATGTCAGAATCAGTTAAATGTCTGTCTTTCCTACATTTTTGCTGTGTTTCCCGCTGCAGAATTCTGTTTCCCACAAGATTCAGCTCTATGAAAAAGAGGAGCTCCAAGGCCAAATATGGGAGCTCACTGATGATTGTCCATCAGTCCCAGGCTACATCCATCTCCTTGAGATCTGCTCCCTCAATGTTTTATGTGGCTCTTGGATCTTGTATGAAATGCCCAGCTTCAGGGGCCAACAGTATTTACTGAAATCCAGGGAATAGAGAAGATCCCCTGACTGGGGTGCAGTAAATGCCAAAATTGTCTCTTTGCAGAGGCTGGCTGACTTGCACCGAGTTATTGCTCCCACGCTAAATAAACAGTGAATGCATTCCAAAAATCCTTGTTCAAACAAATGTTCCTTCACTACTACAAACAAATTAAAGTTGTGCAGTCCAGAGGGAAATCCGATTCCTGTCACATTTTAGGGGGAGAGGGGGAATGCTTTAAAAAATATTCACAATTATCCAGCTGTTCCACAGTACATGGTAATTTAAATAAGTGTTGAAGGTCCAACTGCATATTGCTAACCTCAGTCATTACTTCACTGGACAGGCTATTAATAGGCAGGTCTGATTCCTTCATCTAAGTTTTCCCCAGTTTTACAAGTTTTGATCTAGGAATAGATGCCAGCTCTATACTTACCAGGGTTAACAATATGCAGTTGGACCTTTAACATTTATTTAAATTATCACGTACTTGGAACAGAAAAGTAAGTCCCATTAATAGTTATATCCAATGAAGTACTGACTGAGGAGGAAAAGGACAGAAAGATGCAGAGGAACTCAGAACAAGGTGTATTTGGCATCGAATTCTTCATGCAAACAAGCTGCTCTATGCTACCACCAGTCCAGCAAAGCTTTCCAGTCTTATCCCAGCTGATTCCTCCAGAAAGAATTTTTCCAGATCCTTAAATCACACCACCTTTATACAGCATGCTTTAGTGAACCTGTACTTCATGAACTAGATGCTTAGTTTGTGTCAATCGCCCTGCCTCTACTGACTTCAGAGCTGCATTATCTGCTGCAGCAGGAAATTGAGCCAAATCCCTCAATTGCCAGGCTATTCCACATGCAAAAGGAATTAAATAAGCATACCAGTGCAGATTAGAAACAGGACAACATCTTGTGCTGGAAAAAGTCTATTGCAGCATTAATTATCATTCAAGCAATGATGTATATGCCTACTAATCATCACTGTATCCTGTGCCAGCGGGCACTCTGTGCAGTAATGAATGAGAGCCATAATAAAATGTAACAAAACACAGTTAAGGGATCTTACATCTTAACATACCTCTTCTCATTTAGGTAGTGGAGTCTAGATATTTTTTTTTCCAGGGATAGTTAGGCAAATATACTATTGCTCTTCAGCAAGGTGCTGGAGACTTTTGGAAAGAGAAAGCAGTACAGAGAGCACAGAACTACTAGGACACTCCGCAACCTTATCTAGTACATGTTTAATTGTAAATAATTTCATCTGGGCTTTAAATGGTAGGCTTTGATTTTGTTTTGCCTAATAAACATTCTGATAATGGAGTCCTTGAATAAAACCAAGCAACTTCTACAGCAGTGAGGTAGACTGCTTAAAACTCACATCTCTACTTGCTAATGTCAGAGACCTCATTTAGCCATTATTTCACGCTCATATGACCCATCAGTAACAGCCTGTTAGTGATCCTCACCAGCCTTTCCCTGACAACTCTGGAGAGGAAAACAGAACTATTCTTTGTGCTTCTCGTCCTTTCTTTTGTACATGGGACACTATCTCTGCCCTCCTGCCTGTCCTTTACTGCACGAAGTAGGCTGTTCAGCTGCTGCAAATGTCTGGTGTACATAAGAACAGCCAGAGAGAAATGGAGCATGAATGATTCAGCCTGCAAGGCAGAGGTGTGAAAAAGCATGTTTCCTCTTATTCACAAATGCCTAGTATTGTGCATTTATAGCAACTGCACAGTGCAAGTAATAGGTGTGTTAGCATCCTTAGGTTAGCATGCTAACCCAGGTTTGCAAAATAACACAGCTGTTCAAGCACAGTATCTACTTGCCTGCTTAGAACAGGGAAGCAAAATATTTCATTTGCCTTCAGCAAGAATAAAGTAAAGAAAAAACAGACCAGCTCCCCAGACAGCAATTAACATATGCCTACGTACTCCAACAAAGTATCTAGTTCAATTAGCACAATTGAGAAATATGGCTATGTAGTGATGTGTAGGTTACATGCTGGCATTCCTTTGGTCAAAGGCAAGAATGAACAGAGATGTACTATTCAGTGATCAGAGCGATAGGATGTCTGGATTCTTGACTCTGCTGCATCCTAGAGTTTGCGGTTGGCTAAACCTCTCCAAATTTCTCCACCTGCGACAGGAATGGTGGCAATTCCTAGTTTTCAAGGAGCACTGAGAGGTCTTACTTGCTTTTGTTTGCAAATGCTCAGACAATCTCAAGCAGACATTAAGAACAAGGATGCTAGAGGAGAGGAGCACTGGGAATTCACAGAGAGCATCCAAGTTTTCGATAACAAGTCGTCTAGGTTCCTGTAGCTTGTTTTATGGTTGGTAGCAGGCACTAGAGTTGTGGCATGCAGTGTATGTTTCTCTACACAAACACTCACTGCTATTTTCATATTATCCCTCCATTTGAGTTTTTCTGGGGTGCAAAAGCAGTCAATCTCCACATAAAAGCAGCTGTCATAACAGCATACTAGTTGAGGGCAGTTGGAATAGTTGTAAATAACCAGACTCCTCAGATCATGGATACCATTTGGCTAACAAGATATTTTGGCTCCAGAGTTTAAGATCAACCCACAGCCCTTCCTGCAGTGCACAGCCCATCTGTGGCATAGGATTCTGGGAGGGGAAAGTCTACAGAATTCAAGGAGAAGCTGGATGAGTACTTGGAAGACAAATCCACTGAGGGTTATTAACCAGAGAGAAGTAACCTCCTGCTCAGGAAAACTCTTGAGCTAAAAATACTTGAGGTCTTTAAGTTTGAATGAAGGATTGCATGTATTTGCTTCATATCTACCCTTCCCTCGGTGCCTACTCATGGTGGCGGTTGCTGCCAAGTCACTTGACTAGCTGGACCACCGGTCTGACCCATGATGGCTGCTCTACATTCATAGCTACAATAAGGAATTCACATATCACTGCCCCTACTCTGGTCTCTCAAGTTCCAAACTTCATCACCAAGCCCAATGCCCACTGTATTAAACTATGAAGGACGATACAGGACCCAAAAGACAAGCTGGCTCCACAAAGCAAGCATGATCACAGAAAGAACAAAGAAAAAAAGTGTAACACTTCCGAGTCTGCCAAAGATCTTTGAGAAATGCAAGCACAGGCCTGCACATAGAAGTTGTTCCTGTAAGTGAATTAAATTTGCTTAGTATTAACCATCAGGAGGAAGTTATTTTTGATCCAAAGAAAGCATGGAAGTATTCAGAAGTAACTGCTAGACTTAAATTCACACTCTTCCCTCAGTCTGCTTTCAGTATTAAAGGCTACA